TGCGTAGGGTGCTCTTGCTCATGAGATGGTGGGGGGGTGTGCAGGAGCAGGGAAAGCTTCTCAGAAGTGCCATCTTAACTGAGCCCAGAAGAAGATGGGAGAGGGGCCAGTCCAGAGCCACTGGTCACACGGGGAAGGCATCGTTGGTCGCACCTCCTCCTAGGGACGGGGCTGTTGCTATCACTGGCTGCTGTCACTGCTGTCCTGAGCCCTCCTTGCCAGCCGGTGGAGCCCCATCAGCCCTGAAACCCAGCTCAGGCCTTCCTCCTCCGGGAAATGCCCATCTCTGAGCTGCCCCTGTGCCTGGAACAGGGAAAGCTGTCACTCATTTTTTGTTACTTCTTTGTCCCCCTGACTGAACTGAGGGCTCTTAAAAGACCAAAGAATGATGTTCGTTCTGCCCTGGCATCCCATCCTCTGGCAGAGTCTCGCTCAGGGCAAGGGCGGTTCATGAACACATGTCACTTCACGTGTGACCTCAGATGAGTTCCCTTGTGTGGTTGGACTTCCTTTGCATCTGCAACACTGAAGAGTTGGATGGGTGGCTTTTCTGAGGATACTCTCAACTCCAGAATATATGAACTTGAGAACTAGGTGCTCGCTCAGTTCTCATACCTCAAGGTTGTGTGTGCGCATGCATATATATGTGGTCTGACTCAAGGGACAATGAAGAGGGCTGTTTGGTGTCTGAAAAAGTGTGTTTCAACAAACTCATAAGCCCCTGGAGGGGAAGCCTTCAGGAGTTGGGGCTCCCTAAGACTGGGCAGGTGGGTTACTTGTTTTGCGTTTTTACCTCCAGTCCACGCCCAGTGGAGTGGCTTCCAGGCTTCTTTGTGGGCTTTTGTCATTTGTTTTTGTAGAGAAGTAGCAGTCAAACTAAAGTAACCAACACCCGAGTGCACCTCACTGCACAGAATTAAAAATCACCGTATTGTCATAGCTGCTTCACGTAATTTCAGTTTAAAAGAACTAAAATAGGGGCGCCGGGGTGGCTCAGTTGATTAAGTGTCCAAGTTTGGCTCAGGTCATGATCTCACAGTTTCTGGGTTCGAGCCCCTGCTTCAGGTTCTCTGCTGCAAGCACAGATCCTGCTTCAGATCCTCTGTTTTCCTCTCTCTGCCCTTTCCCTGCTTGCAGGTACATCCTCTCTCTCTCTCCCTCTCCTCCCGCCCCTCAAAAATAAACATTTTTCAAAAATAACTAAAATATTACAGATGGAGTTAGAGGCCATTTCATTCCTCATCTTGGGTTGCTATTAAAAGTTCGTTTATGGGGTGCCTGGGTGGCTCAGTCAGTTAAGTGTCCAACTCTTGATCTCTGCTCAGGTCTTGACCCCAGGGTCCTGAGTTCAAGCCCCCCCACTGGGGCTGGGCGTGAAACCTACTTTTAAAAAAATAGTTTGTTTATTATGCGTTTACATAGGATTTAAAAGGTAAATTTTATGTTATAAATGTTTTATCACAATAAAAAGCTTTTTTAAAAATCCCAAACAGTTCTCTTAGGCCCAAGTCAGAGTCTGGGGACAGCTGGGTCTCCCCTCTGTGACTAGTACCAAAGAGCTACATTCTTCTCTCCTTGAACCTCCAGCCATCAAGGTGGCTCCAACCCCCTGATCCTGGCCCAGGATTTCCTGTCCTCAGTCAGTGGCACCACCTTCCTCCTAGGCATCGGCTGTGGTCCTTAATTCATCCCCTCTCCTCCCCCACACCAGCCTGTCTGTCAGCACTGTCACTCCACCTCCTGATCACATCCCAAATCCTCTGCTATCCGCACCCTGGGCCACAAAAAGACACTGCAAGAGGCAGGCTTCTTGGGGCACCTGGATGGCCCAGTCAGTTGAGCATCCGACTTCAGCTTAGGTCATGATCACTCAGTTCATGGGTTTGAGCCCCAGGTCAGGCTCAGCTGACAGCTCGGAGCCTAGAACCTGCTTCGGATTCTGTGTCTCCCTTTCTCTCTGTCCCTCCCCTGCTCACACTCTTGTTTCTGTCTCAAAAATAAACAAACAACAGAAAAAGACACAGGCTTCTCACGGGTCCTCCCTGCTTTCCTCTCTGGCCTCGCAGCAGTCGGCTCTGGCCCGGAAGTAGAGTGATCCTCTGAAATAAGCACCCTCGTCCCATCCCCCAGCCAGGGCTCCCCAGGAGCAACCTGACAAAGGCCTCCACATCTCTCTTGAGACCTCCCTGCTGCCCAGAAATTTCTTTCTTCTGCACTACAGCCATATGACTTGCCCCCTTGCTTCCTATAGGCTCTTCTCTCTCTTGTCCCTCATTGTGTCCCAGTCAGTTTGTTCTTTTGGATTCTCCCCTTGTCACAGTGTCGTCTAGTGCAAGGAGCCCTTCCAGCTAGCCCCTGTGCCTTTTGACTTTCCCTTTCTCCTTTTAAGCACTCCCCTGCCTTTCCACCCCCACAGGCCACCTCAGCACCACAACGACCCGCTTCTCCTGGGGGCCAGCCTCGTTCCCTCCATGGACACTGGGTATGTTCCCTGCCCCTGGGGTGTCTCACTGGGTCTTAGATATGTCCCATCAAGGACGTGCAGAGCACTGTGGTCAGAGATACTTGAAATAAATCTTTTCTCTGTGGTATGTTGTCAGTTTGATACACAGTTAAATTCATTTGTTTGTGTTTGTATTCAATATAGTAGGGTTTTGTCACCTTTTCATTTTCATTTTGGTTACGTAAGCTCGTACATGACTCAGAGAGGTCTTACCTTATGCCTCCACTTCCTCACCCCCACGTGCCCGGGGACTGGGAAGCGCTTCTTCCCTTGTGGCTCACACGACAGGTGGCCTGTGATCTGTAGGTGGTCCGCAGGTGCTCTTCTTCCACCCTCTCCGCGCCACGGGCATGGTGTCGTCCACCCCTCAGGTCCTTGCTGGCAGCTCTCGAGGTGTCTGCAGTATCAGGCCAGGAACAGTAACGCCATTACTAGTAACATCCTACACCTATGGTTTTGCATTTCTGGGAGTGTCTCTTTAGGGTAGAGTTCTAGAAGGGATTGCCATTGATGGCATTGACACCCTTGATTGTATCTAAGAGGCATTCTTGGGACATGTGGTTTGTACTTGACCTCATGGTGGTTAAACTATTTGGGGCATATACAGGAGCATCCTGAAGAAGCCAGACCTTTCCCACAGGTGCTGGCCTCTGACTCCAGGACTGTCCTGGTGCCAGGGAGCAGCCCTGGCCTTCAGCGGTGCCCCTGTAGACTGCGTGGCAGTGACTGTCCCAGTCCGTCCACCACTCCGCTGCTGGCAAGCTCCCCTTCTCCCCTCTGCGATGACGATGACAGGCTGCAGGCCACACCCAGCTTCCCAGGGTTCTTCCTCATTTCCTTCGGGGAAGCTAAGACTGTGAAAATGGAAAACTAAGCTCTGTGCTGCAACAGGCTAGGGACCTCACTTTTCAGCAAGAAAAAGTCTCCTACGGGCCTTGGACTGAATCAGGGTGACCATGAGAGCCAGGCTCAGAGCCCTGAACTGCTAGAAAAGACCCAGGATAGGGAAGAACGCAGGGGTGAGTCTGTCTCCCCACCCCTGACCTGAGCTGTTCAGAAAAGCCATGTCCTAATGGTGCCGAGTCTTGATGCTGACGTGCCTTTGGCAACTTCCCCGCATCATTTGAGTCTGGTTTCCAGTGCACACCACAGTGCCTTCACTGGGGTCTCCCCAGTGTGAACAAGGCGGGGTGTTGCTTGGGGTAGACCCGCCGTGAGGCAGTTGACCAGTGCTGACACAAGCCGTGTGGGACAGGGCAGCTCTAGGGCTGAGATACTGAGGACAGGAATAGTCCAATTCTTTCCTAGAACGAATTGCTGAGAGACTGGCAGACAGCTGGTTCCGAGCCCACAGTTCCTCCCAAGACTCCCGGGCCCGGGTCGTATTCCTGGGCTCGTACCGCCGCCCAAGAGCATCGTGGCCAGGCTCCGATTCCAGGGTCCACACACAAAAGGAAGGGACCCTGCCAGGTGGACCCGAAATATAGGGGAGGAGCTGCTCTGTCGGGGTGAAAAAGTGGGGAGGCGCGGGCCCCGGAGCGGGGAGGGCGCTCTTCTGCGCCTGTCTTCGCTCTTCCCTTCCGGTGGTCGTGGTCGCTGGTGGAGGCTGAGGTGGTCACGTGTTGTAAGGGAACGGCTGCTCATACAACGTTCGCGGACCCGGGATGGCTTCTCTCCTCACCCTAGAGCCCGGCAGTGGTTTCTGATTGCCCGAGTTGGCCGCTCTTTATTATAGTGCCTTTGTAATCTCTCTCCGTCTGGGGTGTCGGTACCTATTGTCAAGATGAGAAAACTGAGGCACGGGATGTTGAGGTCACTTGCTCAGGTCCATGTTTAGAAACTGCAAAGTCAGGATTTGAGCTCAGGTTGGCTGGCTCCAGACCCACGTGTTCTGTCCACAGCACTGTGCTATGCGCCCCCTCCCCAGGGAGTAGTGCTAGGCTGTGTTACCATCAGTGAGGCATCCTGTGCCCCACAACAGCTTTTTATCAAGCACACGTTGGAGAAAACCTAAAATACAGAAGCCGTAGTAACACCCAAGCCCGGCCTGCTCAAAGAAAGCCCGGCCCACGTTTTGGGGGTGGGCAGCTCCCTCTCCAGCAGTGAAGGGCCTTTTGTCAACCAGCAAGCCCAGAGGCCCTTGGGCACAGCTTGTAAAGTGGCCTCTTCCAAGGCACTGTACTAAGAAGCCACATGGTGTTTCTATCCAGAAAAATGCCACCTGTATAGGCTGTTCAGTGTCCTGCATGCTAGGGGTGGGACTTGGGGCAGAAGGACTCAGAGTGGTCACAGGCAGGTGGGGCAAACCCCAAAGCCCAAAGCCTCTAAGGAAATCTGTGACGGGGAAGGGCATCGAGATCTGAGCGAGCAGCGGCCGGGCAGCCCTGTCTCTCAGAGCCCTACTCGGGCTGGGATGCTCCAAGCCTGCCACTGCTCACTCTTTCTACAAACTGGTGTGTGTTCCCTATGATACTTACATGCTTATTTAACACTTCAGGGAAGAAAAGTCAGAAGACCAGGATCTCCAGGGCCTCAAGGACAAACCCCTGAAGTTTAAAAAGGTGAAGAAGGATAAGAAAGAAGACAAAGAGGGCAAGCATGAGCCCCTGCAGCCACCAGCCCACCACTCTGCTGAGCCAGCAGAGGCAGGCAAAGCGGAGACCTCAGAAGGGCCAGGCACAGCCCCCGCCGTCCCGGAAGCTTCTGCCTCCCCCAAACAGCGGCGCTCCATCATTCGTGACCGGGGACCCATGTATGATGACCCCACTCTCCCTGAAGGTTGGACCCGAAAGCTTAAACAAAGGAAGTCCGGCCGCTCCGCTGGGAAGTATGATGTGTATTTGATCAAGTAAGTAAGGGTGGCTTCTGTATCCACAGAGCAGGGAAGGCTGAGTAGGCAGGAGGTCGGGGACAGGTGCTCAGAAACTCCTGGGGCCCCCTTCGGGGGGAAGCTCTTTGTTGCTTGTCGATCCGGGAAGTATGTGTGCATAAGCCTGTCGTGGATCTGGGGGGACGTCCCTAATGAACACCACTTGCAGGCCCAACCAGGTAGGTTTGGAATGACTGTGGCCAGAGATCACTGCCCCGAGTGAGACGTGCGCACAGTAGCAGGGCGTGACTCTATCTCACCAGCCCTTGAGGTCTCGTCTGGTGATGGTGATGGCGTCGCAGTAGGGCGTGCCCAGGGCCACAGTGAAGGTCGGAGCTCATGGGGTTCGGTCCGCACTGCAGACCACATCAGGAAAGCTGGGCGCTCTGACAGGGCCTCCGGGGAGAGACACAAATGAGCACCATGTGCCTTTCCAGCTGTCCTTTGTACGTTTGTCCGGCGTTGGGCTGGTCCCTGGGCATTTTCTGTTGAAACAGAGTAATTCCAAACCAGAGCCTCAGGGGAAGACTGAAGAAGTAGTGCATTTGAGTTCTGGCCCTTAGATGATCCAGAAAAGGTTAGCAGTCTTTGAAGGACATTTGCAGACAACCTCATTTGATCCCAACAACTCTGAGAAGGGTGAGCAAAGCATTATCCCATTGACAGATGAGGAAACTGATCCCAGAGAAGCTAAGCAGCACGCCCAGGTTCAGACAGAGGAGTGCTCTTACTGACTGAGCCCGGGCCCCGGCTGGCAGAACGGGCCCCAGCCTGGTGGCTTGAGAGGCTCCCTAGGCGGGGCCCCTTGGGGACCAGAGGAAGGGCCTTGGTGGCAGACAGACCCTCAGGCGTGTCTAGGCAACAGCTAGAGAGCAGCCAGCACCGAGCTTTTCGGTCATTGGAGCACGCCCTCACGGTGGCCGCCACCACCCAGCGACCGGACCATGTCATGTGTGGCTGTGGCTGCACCCCTCTCTTTTAACCCGTTTTGGCTTTTCTCTAATGTGAGTGGACCCTCGCTTAGTAGTACCACCAGGCAGGCCCTAGCGGCAGAGCGTCCCGTTGGAGAGTTCACCGCCTCCTGCTCTGCCCCATATCTGACATTACTGGGGAAGCTTCTAATCATCCTTTGTGTCTCTCCGTTTGTTCCCACAGTCCCCAGGGAAAAGCCTTTCGCTCTAAAGTGGAGTTGATTGCGTACTTCGAAAAGGTAGGCGACACCTCCCTGGACCCTAATGATTTTGACTTCACGGTAACTGGGAGAGGGAGCCCCTCCCGGCGAGAGCAGAAACCACCTAAGAAGCCCAAATCTCCCAAAGCTCCAGGAACTGGCAGAGGCCGGGGACGCCCCAAGGGGAGCGGCAGTGCGAGACCCAAGGCGGCAGCATCAGAGGGTGTGCAGGTGAAAAGGGTCCTGGAGAAAAGCCCTGGGAAGCTGCTCGTCAAGATGCCTTTTCAGCCTTCACCGGGGGGCAAGGCCGAAGGGGGTGGGGCCACCACGTCCGCCCAGGTCATGGTTATCAAACGGCCCGGCAGGAAGCGAAAAGCCGAGGCTGACCCCCAGGCCATCCCCAAGAAGCGGGGCCGAAAGCCAGGCAGTGTAGTGGCGGCCGCCGCCGCGGAGGCCAAGAAGAAAGCGGTGAAGGAGTCTTCCATCCGGTCCGTGCAGGAGACTGTGCTCCCCATCAAGAAGCGCAAGACCCGGGAGGCCGTCAGCATCGAGGTGAAGGAGGTGGTGAAGCCCCTGCTCGTGTCCACCCTCGGCGAGAAGAGCGGAAAGGGACTGAAGACCTGCAAGAGCCCCGGGCGGAAAAGCAAGGAGAGCAGCCCCAAGGGGCGCGGCGGCAGCGCCTCCTCGCCCCCCAAGAAGGAGCACCACCATCACCACCACCACTCGGAGCCCCCGAAGGCGCCCGCGCCGCTGCTCCCGCCCCCGCCCCCGCCCCCGCCGGAGCCCCAGAGCTCCGAGGACCCCGCCAGCCCCCCTGAGCCCCAGGACTTGAGCAGCGGCGTCTGCAAAGAGGAGAAGATGCCGAGAGGAGGCTCGCTGGAGAGCGACGGCTGCCCCAAGGAGCCAGCTAAGACTCAGCCCGCGGTCGCAACCGCTGCCACGGCCGCAGAAAAGTACAAACACCGAGGGGAGGGAGAGCGCAAAGACATTGTCTCGTCCTCCATGCCGAGGCCAAACAGAGAGGAGCCTGTGGACAGCCGGACGCCCGTGACCGAGAGAGTTAGCTGACTTTACACAGAGCGGATTGCAAAGCAAACCAACAAGAATAAAGGCAGCTGTTGTCTCTTCTCCTTATGGGTAGGGCTCTGACAAAGCTTCCCGATTAACTGAAATAAAAAATATTTTTTTTTCTTTCAGTAAACTTAGAGTTTCGTGGCTTCAGGGTGGGAGTAGTTGGAGCATTGGGATGTTTTTCTTACCGACAAGCACAGTCAGGTTGAAGACCTAACCAGGGCCAGAAGTAGCTTTGCACTTTTCTAAACTAGGCTCCTTCAACAAGGCTTGCTGCAGATACTACTGACCAGACAAGCTGTTGACCAGGCTTCTTAGGGTGTGCCTGCACCTCCCCTCCCACCCAGACCTCCCCCCTGTGTGGTCTTTAGGGACAGAGAGTGCTTGAGAGGACACGCCCGTTTTTGGTGCCATTGGTGCCCCAGTCTGCCCTCTCGGCTCCCCCTCCCCTGCCCCACCACTACCCCCCAGCTCCCCCACCCACATTGGGACAAGGAGGTGTGAGGCAGGAGAGACAGTTGGACTCTTTAGAGAAAAAGACAGAGATGGCCAGTGGCTACAGCCCGTGTGAACTCACCCATGGTGGCACAAATCTGGCCCCACGCCAGCCCCAACCCAAAACCGACTAGGACATTTCACGGGACAGGAAAGCGAGCACCTGTTCGCTCCAGTTCTGGCATGGCTAGGAGGGAGTCAGTCCTTGAGCTGCTGCGTGTAGATTGGCCTGAGCCAGAGGAGAGGACGGCCCGGGGCCGCGCTCCAGTGGGTGGAGCTCGAGAGAGGCCGCGGAAGCAGCGGGACGAGGGACGAGGCGCGGGCAGGCTGGCCCCGGCTCCTCCGGGTGGCAGAGAGCGGTGGGGCCGACAGAACTCCTAGTCGCTCAGAGCAGTCTGTGACTGGTAGATTGAGGCCTAGTGGACAGGTTGGGGGGCCAGGGGAAAGGAGGGGAAAATGTTCTTCCAAAACTTTCCAATTCTACTCCTTTAGGGACAGCTTAGAACTATTTGCACTATTGAGTCTTCATGTTCCCACTTCAAAACAAACATGCTCTGAGAGCAAACTGGCTTGAATTGGTGACACTTTGTCCCTCAAGCCACCAGACATGATGGTGTTTAGAACTACCTGGATCTGTATATACCTGCGCTTGTTTTAAAGTGGGCTCAGCACATAGGGTTCCCACGAAGCTCCGAAACTCTAAGTGTTTGCTGCAATTTTATAAGGACTTCCTGATTGGTTTCTTTTCTGTCCTTCCATTTCCGCCTTCTTTCATTCACCCTTTCATTTCTTCCCTCCTCATTCATCCCTTTTGCACCAGGCACCCACAGTTCCCAATTTACCCAAGCTGATGCTGGTCAGCTCAGGCCCCCACCTCTCACCCTGCCCTTGGCCTTCCCACTGCCAGCCCCGGCCCCCTCCGCACCTGTTCTGAGCCCTGAGGAAGCCCCGGGCTCTGCCAAGTCCACCTGGCCCTAGCACCTTGGCTTCTCGGCAGGGCAGGAGGGCAGCATGATCTTGCTCTCTTAGGGAGCTCCCTTCCCTGGTTAGACCCTGGATTCTGGGCCTTCTGAACCTTCTACTTGAGAGAAATGGGCAGGAGAAGCTGGGCGGATTTGGATTTGGGAGCTGAGGGTAGCATAGAGGCCCCCTTGGCCTGCCAGAGTCATTGAGTAACCCAGGCCTGACCTTGGCCCCTGCCAGACCCAGCTAGCACAGTGCAGCGCGACAAGGCAGCAGGTGGGAAGGAATGTGGGTGCCCCAAGCCCGGGCTGGGACCAGCACCTGGGCCCCTGGCCCCTCTGCTCCTCCTTTAAATTAACCACGAACTCTCTTCTGATGGAGAAGGTGTGGCCTTTGCTTGCCGGAGACTGGGCGGGGCCAGTCTACTCCCTGTGTCCACCTCTGCGCCAGGGCCACGGTGCGGGGGGCTTAGAGGCTTGGCTTTGCTGCGGCTGTTCCTCGATCAGTCTCCATTTAGGGCCCCATCCCCTCATTCTCTGTTCAGGAAGTCCTTATCTAGCTGCGTATCTTCATCATATTGGTATATCCTTTTCTGTGTTTACAGAGATGTCTCTTATATCTAAATCTGTCCAACTGAGAAGTACCTTATCAAAGTAGCAAATGAGACAGCAGTCTTATGCTTCCAGAAACACCCACAAGCACGTCCCATGCGAGCTGCTGCCATGAACTGTCAAGTGCGTGTCGTCTCGTGTATTTCAGTTATTGTCCCCTGGCTTCCTTACTGCGGTGTAACCATGAAGGAGTGAAACATCCTACAAACCGTCTAGCACTTCCTTGCCAGTCCTTAGTGATCAGGAACCATAGTTGACAGTTCCAATCAGTAGCTTAAGAAAAAATCGCGTTTGTCTCTTCCGGAACGGTTAGAAGCAAGGGAGTTTGCCCCCATTCTGTTCGCAGAATCATAGTTGGCTTTTGTAGCGCTTTTGTACCCATTTCCCTATGCTGCAAAAGCAAGTCCCACAACCAGGCCCACTCTGCTGTCGACCCTCTGGGCTTCCCTTCTGACTCCGCCCCAGGAAGGGAAGGGGGGTCGGAGGAGGAGGAGGCGAGTCCTTCAGGACCCCTCTTCCTTCAAGGACAAAAGGCTCCTGACCCCAAACTAGCCTCACACTCCCGGCACCAACGAAGGATGCCTATCCACGCGATCATAGCGTCCGGCCAGTTTGTCATGGAGACGCCTTCCGTTCTGGTCGGTCGGGTTTTTATGCATTACACTTAGTCCAGTGGGATGTGACTCCTGGAACCAGAGTCAGGGGCTGGCCTCCCCATCAGCTTGGTACCATCTGGTCCTGGGGAGACGAGTGCAGGGCCCGCCATACCCCCCTTTCACCCAGGACCGTCCAGGGACTGACTGGGCATTGGTGGTTGAGGGCACAGCGTTTCAAGTGTCGTTTTCCTTCGGCCCGGCCCGACCTGCAGCCCCTCGCTCCCCAGCTGCTGCTCCGTCCGACTCCAAAGCTGCAGGCCACGCCTGAGGCTCCCCAGGGTTTCTCTCCGTCCCCGTTGCCTCCGCTTTCCCTCTTCTGCGCCTGAGAAAGGCACTGCGAGGCAGTCACCATCAGGCAGGCCGCCTTGATGGTTTGTCGCCCTGACCGGCCGGGGCCCTGCAGCTCCCACACCAGCCCTGTCCTGGGTCAGGTTGGCAGGAGGTTGGAGGGAAAGCCAGGCCATGGGATTCTCACCAGCTGTGTCCAGCCCAGTTTGGGGATGTGACCTCGATTTTGTGTGTACTTGGCCACCCCGAAGATTGGGGGCATCTTTTAGGGACTGTGTGAAGAATAGAGAAATTAAGCAACGGCTTTTAGATACCTGTTTGTGGGGCTAGGTCGCAGAGTCCCTTTCAGTCACCCCAACCCTCGTCCCGGTTGTTAGTCACTACCTCCTCTCCCAACAGAATGCCGGAGGCCCTCGAGCTCCTCCCACAATGCCCAGCCCAGCTCCGCCCCGCCCTGCCCATTGGTGGGCCTGCCCTAACCAGTGGAATTTCTGGCCTTGCCACTGTAGTGAGGCAGGGCACCGAGCCACAGCCGGGCACAGCTCCCTTCTGCCGCTGCTGAATTCCCACATCAGAAGACACAGGAGACACCTAGACATGCCCCGTTCCCCAAGTCCATCAGTGCCAAACTATCCGAGACCCCAACCCCCCAACTCCCCGGAAGGTGAAAGCCGTGGTGGTGGCCTGGGGATGCTGGCCGCAGCCGGCACCTGGCTTCTACTCCCGAGACCCCTGCAGGTGTGGGCAACAGTCTGTGCAAGGGTACCATTCCAGGCTAGAGGCCACCAATGGTGGCACTAGGACCTGGAGCAGCCCCAACTTGTCACCTGCTCCTCTGCCCAGCTCTTCACCGCTGTGACAGGTTGTGAAAGAGGGTAGTAGCCTGAAACAAACTGCCGTGTTTGGAGGGAAAGGAGTTTGTTTAGCTGACAGAACCTGTGCATTTAAGTAATTTTTAATAAAGCAGCTGAAGCGCAGGAAGGAGCACAAGGTGGGAACTGAATTCACCAGGTGGGGCCGGCTGGGTCTTGCAGGGCCCAGGAGAGCCTGGCCGCCGAACTCTGTGCCCCCTTTCCAGAGCATTCCCGCCCGGCTCTCTGGGCTGATGGAGCCAGGGAAGGTCGCAGGGGCCGGTTCTCAGAGACGCCTTCTGTGCACCCGTTCCTAGCCAGTGTCCCCCCAAATCGTTTCCTGGTGGGAGCTTCACGCACAGATTGTAGGACTGATGGCCCAGAGACCTCAGGAAGCAAGCTATGTCCAGAGCCCCGTGGGCCTTTGCCCAGCCAGTTCCCCGAGGCCTGGCTCATGGTGTTGGGGGGCGGGGGGGGGGGGGCAAGCATGGCAGTGTCGCCCAGCCTGTGGTAGAAGCCCTGCTCCTGTGCCCCCGCAGCCCCACCGTGTCGCGTTCCTGAGCTTGCTCTGTTCTCTGTAAGGACCCCCCTTGCTCTCTTCATCAGTAAACTCGTCCACTCTGGAGGGGTTTGTTGAGTCTCCATTTTTGCGTCTTTCTCTTTCAGATACTCTATCCATCTGTACAAGAGGCATAGTCTCATTGTTATACATCGCTAGGATACTGCCTCCCCCAGGGTCTGAAGTCACATATTAAATGGGGGGGAAAAGTGAACACTGAAACCTGTTCTTGACAATTCAGAAGGAAAACCTAGAAAACATTTGGCAGAAAATTGCATTTCGATGTTGCTGAATGAATAAGAGCAAGCTTTTGCAAAACTGCTGATCTAAAAATACCTGGAGCTCGGCCTGACACGTGGCGAGTGCCGCAGGAAGGGGGGGGCCGGCCTGAAGCTGCTGGGTCTGAGACTTGGGGCTGGCCTGGCACTGGACAGCCCCCTGTCCCGTGGGGCCGCCCGCCTGGTCCCAGGCCCGTAGGAGCCCGACGCTCCGTGTGGGAAGCAGAGTGGCCCCAGTGACTCCAGAGGCCTGCGACGTCCGCACCGCCGAGCGCCACCTGTACCCTGCTCCTTTCTCATCTCAGCGGGGCCTTCCCCAAGTGCTCATTTTTCAGGAAGAAGGGAGTTCTGACTAGAGCTCAGGCAACTAGGAAGGTGAGGGGGAGGGGTCCCTTTCGGCCTCGGCCGGTCCCCTGAGGACATTGCCCCCCGCTCCGCTCTCCCTGGGGCCCAGGGCCTAGGTGAAGCGGCGCTCCCTTCCGCGCTCAGGGGTGAAGCCGGAGGCCTGAGCAGCCGTCGTGGTGTGTGTCCCCCTGGCCCCCCACCAGCGAGAGCCCCTGGGCCGGAGGGACAGCAGGCACAAGAACAGATGCCAGGCAGAACCGAGACCCTCCCAAAGGGAAGTCCGGCCATGGAGTTCGAGAGCATTCGGGAAACCTGCAAACTGCCTTTGCTCCCCAGGCCCCGCCTAGCTTCCCTTTCCCCAGGTCCTCGGCAGCAAGAGGCAATGAGGTGGAAAGGCCAAGAGGTTTGGCTCCTGCCCGCTGGCAGTCCCTCGCCCTGTGTTTGTGTGTCCAGTGACCGAGCTGTCCTTCCTGGTGACCCTGATTATACCAGTATCTTACGAACTAGACGCATAGGCCTGCTTGGTCTCTATCCTGGGCTTTTGTTTTGCTTTTTAGCTTCGCTTTTAGTTTTTCTGTCCCTTTTATTTAATGCACCTACTAGACACACAGAGCAGTTGAATTTTTATATATATATATCTGTATATTGCACAGTTATAAACTCATTTTGCTTGTGGCTACACACACACACACACACACACACACACAAGACCTGTTAAAATTATACCTGTCGCTTAATTACAATATTTCTGATAACCATAGCATAGGACAAGGGAAAATAAAAAACAACAACAACAAAAAAACACAAAAAAAACAAAAACAAAAAAAAAAACCCCTACAAATCTGTCTGCTGGTCACTTCTGTCCAAGCAGATCCGTGGTCTTTCCTCGCTTCTTTCAAGGGCTTCCCTGTGCCAGGCTAAGGAGGCCCCAGGCAGCACCCGGGTTTTGCACTGTTTCTCCCATGCTCGTGAGAGAGGTCCCAGGATGCTGGTGCGAAACCGTTCCCGTCAGCGGGTGGGCGCGTGAGCGCTTCCTTGCCCCGGCAGAGCCTGGAATGTAGTGGGCACCGCCTGGCCCCCTTTGACATCTGGGGGGACAGCTGGAGTCCGCGGGGAGGGGGGGGGATGACCCAACCCCCACCCCACCCCTCCCGGTAATGCAGTCAGAGTGATCCTACGGATGGTGAGCTCAACAGGCCTCCCCACCAGCAGGGCTTCCACTTTGCCGAGGCTGGAGGGGAACGGGGAGGCCCGTCACGTCTCCGAATGTGTGAGCTGCATCAGGTAGCGCACCAGGGACCCCAGAACCACATACGAGAATCCACTGGGTCCCCTCTAGGAGGTGGCAAAGACTCCCAGAAACATCCCTTTCTCTTCTCCCCCATCCTACGAGTAACTGCATTTGCTTTTGTAATTCTTAACGAGCAATATCTGCTAGAGTTTAGCCGTAACCATTCTTTTTGATCGTTTTTTTAAGTAAAAAACACCAAAAAAAAAAAACAAAAAAAAAAAAACCCACAAAAAACAAAGAAAAAAAAACAAAACCCAGAAACTTGTTCTTCCAAAGCAGAGAGCATTATAATCACCAGGGCCAAAAGCTTCCCTCCCTGCATCAGTACTTCTTCTGAGGCCTGAACCAAAAGAGAAACGCTCAAGGCCTTCGGGTGGCCAGGCTGGCTTGTGGCCCCTCGGACGACCTGGGCCGCGGCGGCCTCTGGGCCCGGCGCGGGGCCGCTCCAGCCTGCGTTCAGTATTAGCGGTGGGTCACAGCGTCCTTTCCCGCCCAGCCCGGGATGGGGGCGGACGAGGCGAGGAGGCCGTCGCTGCCGATGTCTGCCACTAACAGGTGGGTGTCCACGTGCGTCCACGCATGTGCTTTCTGACTGAAATCGGAAATCAGCGCCCGAGTTAGCCTCACCCGGTGACCTCTCGCCCGCCCGGATGGAGCGGGGCCCATCCAGTTGAGTGTTTCTGGGGAGCCGGACGGTGGAGTGCAAAAGGCTTGCAGAACTTGAAGCCTGCTCCTTCCCTTGCTACCAAGGCCTCCTTTTCCGTTTGATTTGTCACTGCTTCAATCAATAACGGCCGCTCCAGAGTCAGTAGTTGATGAATATATGACCAAATATCACCAGGACTGTTATTCAATGTGTGCCGAGCCCTTTCCTCGCGCTGGGCTCCCGTGTACCCGGACACTGTAACGTGTGCTGTGTTTGCTCTCCCTCCTCCCCCCCCCCCATCGTTCTGGGGTTTTTCTGTTTGGGTTTGGTTTGGTTTTTATTTCTCCTTTTGTGTTCCAAACATGAGGTTCTCTCTACTGGTCCTCTTAACTGTGGTGTTGAGGCTTATATTTGTGTAATTTTTGGTGGGTGAAAGGAAATTTGCTAAGTAAATCTCTTCTGTGTTTGAACTGAAGTCTGTATCGTAACCATGTTTAAAGTAATTGTTCCAGAGACAAATGCTTCTAGACACCTTTTCTTTACAAACAAAAGGATTTGGAGGGAGGGGATGGTGACCAAGATGAGAGGGGCTGTCCTTTTTCCCCAGGAGGGGAGATCCGAAGAGATGACCCCTGCCCAGATCAGCCAGAAGCCACCCAAGGAAGTTAAGCCTAAGCCAACGGACCAAATAGCTGATGTGTTGCCATTTTCAAAGTCAGAGTAAAACCAGGTTTCGTTCCACCCAGTGGATTCTGTTGCCTTTTTTTCCCCTGAGACTAATTAGCATCATCATTACTTTTAAGGACAGACAAAACTGGTGTCCCTCTGAAGGGAGACAGGAGGGGTGTGAGCAGAGCTGACCTCGAGTCGTAGGGAGGAGGATAGGGCAGGCCGGAGCAGCACAGCTCAGATGAAAGGTGGTCACCTCCCCGGGGACCTCCGCTGTGGCCACAGAGTCAAGTGTGTGTTCGCAGGGCAGATGGCCATTCTCCGCCCGGTTCGGCTCTTCCTGGACGGGCCAGGTGGTGGCGATTACCATTCGGGACACCTCCATCACATCCCACCCTGTCCCAAAGTCCACACCACTTAACGTGACCTCTAGATTCTTCAGCATCCCAGGTGATCTGACGATGGGGGAGGGGGTGCACTCTCTTCGCCATCATCTGATCCCCAGCAGAATTTGGGCATGAGAAACCCCACTTCCCTTTCCTTGGCAAAACCAGATCCTTCTGAGAAAAGCCGTTACCCACACCATTGTTCTGGGCTCACAGAGCAGGGACAGATGTGTGCTCCCTTAGCACCCAGCCCCCCCACCCCGAGGCGAGGACAATGCTGACTGTCATGACTATTTGCACATGGGTTTAGTATCGGGAAGAACCAGGCAGGGTGGCTGCCCCCTCCTGAGTCGCAGTGACACCTGTCGCCCTAGACAGAGGAGCTCCAGCCGGAGCCTCGGCTGAGGATGGGAGAGAGGTGGGGCGGGGGGAGGGGGGGGGCGGGGGCATGGAGCAGCCCGGGACAGACTTGGCTAGAGATGTCTCTAAAAGCCCTCCATCACATTCACCTTTGGTTTTTGTGTTTTGGGACAATTACTTTAGAAAATAAGTAGGTCGTTTTAAAAACAAAAAATATTGATTGCTTTTTTGTAGTGTTCAAAAAAAGGTTCTTTGTGTATAGCCAAATGACTGAAAGCACTGATATATTTAAAAACAAAAGGCAATTTATTAAGGAAATTTGTACCATTTCAGTAAACCTGTCTGAATGTACCTGTATACGTTTCAAAAACACCCCCCCACTGAATCCCTGTAACCTATTTATTATATAAAGAGTTTGCCTTATAAATTTACATAAAAATGTCCGTTTGTGTCTTTTGTTGTAAAATCAAGTGATTTTTTCATAAGGTTCTTTTACTATTTGAAAAGATGGGCAGCACGCAGTTTTATTTTATTTTTGTAAGTTTTTTAATACGTGTGAAAGCAAAGAATACTCAGCATGCCTTTCTAAGTGACGCGTTTGCACCTTTTGTTGGGAAGTACTGTATCCTGTGCTGTTAGCATTCTCGATAAATCTCTCTGTGAAAGTGACTCAAGGTCTGGGCTTTCATTATCAGACAGCTCACAGGACAGTGGCTGGTGTGTCTCCTGACTCCATCCGGCTGCCCCTGAGCACAGCCGGCCGCTGTCAGGACTGCCTCCGGGGGCAAGCCCAGCCTCCTCCCCACACGGCCTCCCCTTGGGCTCCAAGGCTACACCTACCAGGCACACTGCTCCTGCGCCTGATGGGAAGCTCTGGGGTGGCAGGCCGGGAAGGGCCCGGCCCCGGGGTGGCCCGCCGTGCCCCAGGGCCAGGGACCAACTTCCCTGCTCCTGAGGGCTATGGCGGCGGCGCCTTCTCTGTCCAGGTGCTTTGGGGAGCACCCAGCCATTTCCCGCCTCCGCCTCCCCCCCCCCCCCCCCCGGGCCCCTGCCCGCTCGCGCTCCTCCCGCGCCTGCCGCCTGAGACCCCCCCGAGGCCTCTGCAGACCTGGCCCCCAGCCCAAAGGGGCCGCTGTCATCGCTGTGCGGTCTGCAGACCTTTTGCAAACCCGGTCCGGGAGCTGCCTGCCCGGCCACCTGCCACAGCTGTTCTCAGCAGGCTGTTGCCGGGCTGGAGGGAACGACGGCGCAGGCCCCGACTGCACACGCAAGTGTGGACACAGCTGCTAGAAGGCGCGCTCGAATATCCCGGCCTTGAACGTTAGAACAAAGGGTTGAAATTCAACCTGGGTATCCGGGGCACTTCTGGCGTGCGAGCCCGCCCCGGGAGCCGCTGTCCAGCAGCGAGCGAGCAGCGAGCAAGGAGCTCGCCGCCCTTCCCTCGGGGCTCCCTGCGCGTGCAGGCGGCTTTCCCCGCGCTGGCGTCGGCGGCCCCCAGGAGAAGCCGCCGGGGCTCAGGGCGCGCCTGGCGACGGCCGTGGCTTCTGGGAAGAGGCTCCCGTTGGAGGCCCTCGTCGGGAGGACAGCCTGGAGGGGAGCCCTCCAGGGGCGGGACTGAGGGGGGCGCGGGCGGTTGGGGAAGGAGACCTGTGGCCTCTCAAGCACGCATCCATCTGGCGAGGAGAGGAAGGCGCGGCTGCTGCCTGCTGGGGTCTTCCCCCATCTAGTGGGGGAGCCCGACACGCGCGGAGGCTCGGAAAGGGCGCCCCGCACGTGCCAGGCCCAGCAGGGGCCGCGGGCAGCTCTGCCCAGACGGAGCCAGGGGCCCCCGGGAAGGAGGGAGGAGCGAGGCCGCTGGGCCTGTGGGGAAGAAGTGGACTCCGGAGTGTTCAGGGAAACGGCCGGAGGACAGTGGCCACGGGGATGGAGGGAGCGCCAGAGAATCCAAGGAAGCCACGGCTGCAGAGCACTGTGGGAAGGGGCAGGGAGCCTAACGTGGCGAAGACATCGAGGAGGCCTGGAGCCGCGCCTGGTGCCCGGGAGAGGCTGGACCCGGCCGCCCTCGCTGGGGGGAGCGCCGAGCGAGCCAGAGGCACGGCCACCAGAGGGAGGAGGGACAGCGGAAGCTGAAGGCCTGTGTTTAAGAGGCGTAAATACGTTTTATGGGCTAGTGGGAAGAAGCCAGCAAAGGAGGAAAAGCTGCAAACAGCGCAAAGAGCCAGCGATTGCTGGAGCAGGTTCCCGAAGGAGCGGGAAAGATGGGCTGTAGGGCAGAGGAGGTGGGCAGCAATGCCCCGAGCTGGCTAGGCTGCCCCGCAAGCTTCCAGACGCTTCTCCCTGCACCCAGCCTCCCGGCCGCCCGACGAGACTCGGCGGGGGTCCTCTGTGTGGCCCGCAGCTGCCCCCGCCCTGCCTGGATCTCTGACGACTCTGCACTGCCTCCCACGTAAAGCCCGAAGTTCCTGAGGGGCCCTCCCGGTGACGCTCCCAAGGCCCGGCTCTGGCCCGGTCTGCGGTGTCCCGGGCCGTGCCTCGCCCTTCGTCCCACGGCTCCGAGCCGCGCTCCCGCATCCCTCACGGCCCCACTCAGGCGGCCCCTCCTCCGGGAAGCCCGCCCGGACGCCTCACCGTGCGAAGGGGCGCGGCCTCCGCTGGGAGACACCACGCGCGGCGCCCCCGTCTGGCCGAGGGTCGCGGCGGCGGCAGGCAAGATGGCGGCGGGCCCGGGCCCCGCCCCTTCCGGCCCGCCGGGCGCCGCACGAGGCCGGCTTAAAGGGGAAGTGAGTCAGTGTCCGCGGCCCCGGCCGGCCAAGGCCCGCGCCCGCCGCGGCCCCGAGAGGCCCCAGGAGGCCCTGGCCCGGCGGCGGCGGCGGCGGCGGCGGCGGCGGCGGCCATGGCCGGTGGGCCGGGCCCGGGGGACCCCGCGGCCCCCGGCGCCCAGCACTTCTTGTACGAGGTGCCGCCCTGGGTCATGTGCCGCTTCTACAAAGTGATGGACGCCCTGGAGCCCTCCGACTGGTGCCAGTTCGGTGGGTGGCGGCGGGTGGGGTAGGCTGGGACGGGAGGCGCGCGGGCCCCGGGCGCCCGGGCCTGATGCCTCCCGCCCCGCAGCCGCCCTGATCGTGCGCGACCAGACCGAGCTGCGGCTGTGCGAGCGTTCCGGGCAGCGCACGGCCAGTGTCCTGTGGCCCTGGATCAACCGCAACGCCCGCGTGGCCGACCTTGTGCGCATCCTCACGCACCTGCAGCTGCTCCGCGCGCGGGACATCATCACAGCCTGTGAGCGACAGGGCCCGGGGACCCCGGGGCCCCGGGCTGGACCCAGGACTTCCCACGGGGCTCCTCCCTCCTCCCCCTCCCTCGCCTGGGCCCAACCGCCCTTTTCTTCCCTGGCATCCCAGGGCACCCTCCAGCCCCCCTTCTGCCTGCCGGCACCAGCACCCCGAGGCCCAGCAGTCCCCCTGCACCCTCCGAGGCCCAGGCCCCCCGCCCCCGGAAGTTGCAGACGTCAGCCTCCACACTCCCCTCGCCAGGTAAGAGGGCCCGGGTGTCGGGCTTGATGGTCTTTTGGAAAGGTCCGTCTTGACCATGGCCACTGCCGTACACTATGCCGCCGGGCTCTCCCTGCCTCTCACTGGTGTCTTTATGAAGTTCTTCCAGGCTCCCAAACCCACTCTGGGGCTGAGCTGGGTCCTGTCCCAAGCCCTGCTGCCCTCCAGCCACCACCAGCGTATCCAGACCCTTCCTCTATCAAGGTAGGTGGGTCCTGCCCCCAGAGAAAGAGTCAAGACAGGGAGCAAACAAGGTGGCCTTTCGTACACCTGTGAACCCGGGCAGCCAAGAGGGCGAGCCAGGAGGCAGCTGGGGGGAGGGGGGGCAGCTGGGGGAGGGGGGCTTGTGAGTTTCGGGCCCGGGGGAAGACAGAGGACTGCACCCGACCCAGGATGTCTCCCCACAGCCTGCAGAGAGCCCAGTGCCCCTCCTGCAGGGGCCCCCCCACTCCCCGTTCTGCTGGCCCCTCCCGGAGATCTCCCAAGGCACCCACAACTTCTCGGAGGAGCTGAAGATCGGAGAGGGCGGCTTCGGGTGTGTGTACCGGGCTGTGATGAGGAACACGCCGTATGCTGTGAAGAGGCTGAAGGAGGTGGGTGTAGCGTCCCCGCAAAGGCCCTGGCGACTCGCCAGCAGACCCTCGCTTTTCTGGGCCTTCCCCCGTGCTTACCCATGGACCTCCTTCAGCCCTTCGATTCCCCGGTTCAAGGTCCCCAGCCCCTTGGTTGTTCTGGGCGCAGGACAGGTGGCAGTGAGAGTGGCCATCAAGCCTTGGCTGCCAGAGCTTCACGCTGCCTCCCTGCCCTCGTTTTCCTTGGGGGCCGCAGGGGGCAGACCTGGAGTGGACCACCGTGAGACAGAGCTTCCTGACCGAAGTGGAGCAGCTGTCTCGGTGAGCCTGGGGCCATCCCTCCTGGATGGGGGCAGAGGGAGAGACACGCCGGGGGCCCCCTTGGCCTCCGGGACCGCAGATCGTGGCGCCTGGCTCCCTCCGGCCCCCAGAGCCTTGCCGGGCCCAGCCAGGACTGCCCACCGCCACGATGGCCAGGTGGAGCGGGCGCTGGAGGCCGGAGGCCAGAGCACTCAGGTCCCACTTTTTCAAGCAGGTTCCGTCACCCAAACATTGTGGACTTTGCTGGCTACTGTGCTGAGAGTGGCTTCTACTGCCTCGTCTATGGCTTCCTGCCCAATGGCTCCCTAGAAGACCGCCTCCACTTCCAGGTAGACTTCCTGGCCTGGCACACTTCCCCGGACCCGCATACTCTCAGCACCGGGGCGTTCGGGCTCCGCCAGCGAGTCCCACCTGCCGGCACCCGTGCCCAAGGCCTCTCCCGAGTTGCCCCCTGGGTGCCTGGGCCACGGTGCCTCTGAAAAGGGGGTCACTGGGGCACCCAGGTAGCTCAGCAGGTTAAGGATCCGACTCTTGATTTCAGCTCAGGTCATGACCTCACGGTTCGTGGGTTTGAGCCCCGAGGCAGGCTCCGCACTGACAGCAAGGAACCCAATGTTTGGGATTCTCTCCCCTCGCCCTCTGCCCCTCCCGTACTCGCTCGCTCGCTCGCTCGCTCTCTCTCTCTAGCTAACTAAATAAATAAACTTTAAAAAATAATAAAATAAATAAAATCAAAAGGGGGTTACTGATGCAGTGAGTGGAGTCAAGCTTCTCCCTTTTGCAAGCAGAGTAGCTGAAGGGTCTCGTCAGCCTTGCCCCTGGAGAAAGGGGACCGCGGGCAGTGACGCGCCCACGAGACACACGTGCTGACGGCACATGGGGCACTTCAGCTCCGGGGATTAGCACACCCCCTCCCTGCTGTGCTTTACAAAGCGCTGGAAGAGCTTGGTCCCGACCGTCTTGGGAAGTAGCTCGTGGACATTTGGCTCCTGATTTTCCAGAAGGGGAAACTGAGGCCCAGGGAGTGAAGCGGCTTGTCTGGACCCCCGCAGTGACAGGCAGAGGGAGGGTCAGGGTCAAGGACGGCGGCCTCCCAGCCTCTCCTGCGCCCCTCTGCTTCCTCGGCCAGGCCTGCCCGCCCCTCTCCTGGCCTCAGCGACTGGACATCCTCCTGGGCACAGCGCGGGCCGTTCAGTTTCTACATCAGGACAGCCCCAGCCTCATTCACGGAGACATCAAGAGGTGAGGAGGGGACGTGGCCAGGCCCCGCGGCCTCTGAGAGCTGCCCGAGTGGAGTCCGCGGCAAGGGAGTGACGCTCCGCAACCTTCATCCGGCAGGGAGCGGTGGCACTCGCTCTCCGAGTCCCAAGGAGCCCTGCTCGGGGTGTCCCCCATGAGAATAGGCCTGCCCTCTCCTGCTTGAGGCTGAGGTGAGGGACGGGCTGCAGCCCTGCGGCCCGGGCCATCAGAGCTGGGGGCCCTGGGTCACCGCGTACCGTACCGGGCACGGGCCAGGCGTGGAAGCAGGGGCCGACCGGCGCGCGGGAGCCCCCGGGTAGCGGTACCGCCGGGCAGCGCCGGCCGCTCTCTGCGGGCCAGGTGCGAGCTGGTCGCGCCGAGTCCTGTTTCCTCGGGGCCAGGCAGGTGTCGGGGTGCGGAGCGGGCTGGTGCCGTGCTGACACTGCTCCTCCCCTCCCCCCAAGTTCCAACGTCCTTCTGGATGACAGACTGATGCCCAAACTGGGAGACTTTGGCCTGGCTCGGCTCAGCCGCTTCGCGGGGGCCAGCCCCGGCCAGAGCAGCACCGTGGCCCGGACACGGACCGTGCGCGGCACCCTGGCCTACCTGCCCGAGGAGTATGTCAAGACGGGGAGGCTGGCGGTGGACACCGACACGTTTAGCTTCGGCGTGGTGAGCGGCCAGCCCGTCTGCGGCTTTGGGGGACGGGGCGGCGTGGGGCTGGGGAGGGGGCGGGACACTGGGGCCCAGCAAAGGCACCAGGGCCTGGAGAGCTCCGCGCGCCGCCGGGCCAGAGGCCAACCTGGCGGGAAGCTCTCGGGGCTTCGGCTCCGGGGCCCCTCCCTCCCTGCCCCGGGCCCCTCCCACGGCCCTGCACCTGACTCCGGGCTGCGGTTCCTCCTGGCTCCTCCGGAGCGCTGGTCCCATAGCGTGAGGCTCTGTCCTTGCCGCCAGCCAGTCCCCATCTGCCCTTCCGAGGGCCAGGCCCCTGTCCGCCCGGATCCGTGCCTCAAGCAGCCTCCCTGAGCCGGGCCACCTCGTCCACCCCACGAGCCCCCCTGCGTGTGGCCCTCCCTGCCATCCCAGAAGCCACTGCCACACTCTCCGTCCTGCCCTCTCCAGGTAGTGCTGGAGACCCTGGCCGGCCAGAGGGCCGTGAGGACGCATGGTGCCAGGACCAAGTATCTGGTGAGCCTCCCGAAGTGGGGCAGCGAGGGGGGCAGAGGAGGGAGAGAGGGAGAGAGGCGAGGAGACCGCAGGGAGGGAGGGAAGCGCTACTCCTGGTAACCAACAGGTGCAGCCCTGGAGGGTGGAATGATCTGGAATGCAGTGCACCACAGAAGCCAGCCTCTGCTACTGCTGACTCATCTTTGAAAGTAGGCAGGGCTCCAGACAGCTTCCCTTGACCTTGCCGAGGAAAAACCTGTCTGTCTTCTGGAGATGCCGCGGGCCTCTGCAGACCCCACCCGGGCTGGGAGCGGGGAAGGGGCCTCCCAGCAGGACAGCCCCAGCGCTCTAGGACAAGAAGCTGTAGTGGGAAGAAGAACACGGGGCCCCAGGGGAGGCAGCGGCGGGAAGTCGGGGAAGCCGCAGGGGACAGCAGGCCTGCCTTCTAGTCCCGGCTCTGTGGTCTCGGAGCAAGTCCCTGCTTCTCGCTAGGCCTGTCTCCCCACCTGCAGAGAGACTTTTTTTTTTCTAATTTGAGAGAGATAGAGACAGTGCAGGGAGGGGAGGGGCAGAGAGAGGGAGAGAGAGAATCCCAAGCGGGCTCTGCTCTGTTAGCGCAGAGCCCGAGGAGGGGCTTGAACCCACGAACCCGCAAGATCCTGACCCGAGCCAAAACCGAGTCGGACGCTAAACCGACTGAGCCACCCAGGCACCCCTCACGGGCGAACAGACCTAACACACGGGCCCAGAACGTGTCCCATCCGAGTTTGTTCTGTGCGTCCTGCCACTCCTGTTTCAGACTGTTACCCAGTTTCACCGGGTCTGGGCTGGCACCAGGGGACCGGACATGAGCCGTGCTTGCTTTGCCGGGGCACCGTGCACAGCGCCAGCCCCAGCTTGGGCTGCCCTCCACGATGTCATCACTGCCTGGCCTTCTTTGGACCGTTCCTACCTTTTTGTCCTCCGTGCCACAGCCAAAGCGATATTTCAGAAACAGAAAGAGATCGGGGAAGCCCCTTTGTCTCCCTACTGTGCTCAGCGTAAAGGCCCGATCCCTCGCCACGGCCACAACTCCCCAGAGCTTGCTAGCAGCAGCCTTCCCTCTGTCCTCCAAGCTCAGCTAGCTCCTTGCTCTCTGCCCCGGGGCCTTTGCAGGAGCCCTTCCTTCTGCCTGAAAGACCGCCCCTCCCCAGGTGCTTCCTTCTGGTCCTTCCCATGTCAGAACTCAAGATGGCCTCCAGTCCTGTTTGCACCCCTGGGTACCTCTCTGTGGGCTACTCCCTTCCCTTCTTGGCTCTGACCTCTGGCTCGTTCGTGCCTTCAGATCCTAGCCCGAGTGCTGCTTGCTCAGGCCCTGGTCAGCAGCCCCCTGGGCCTGTCCACTGAAGCGTTTCCATTGCTTTGTAGGCTTGCTGGTGTCTCCCCCACACCAGGAAGTCAGTTCTGTGAAGGTGGACCCAGAGTGCTCCGCTTGTCACTGTGTCCCTAGGGCCTCGGGCAGTGCTGGGCACACAGCGGGTGCTTATTAGTAAGTCTGAAGAAAGACCGCGGGAGTCAGTAAGGAGAGCCTGGGGCATGGGGCTGAAGGCATGACCTCCCCCCAGTGGCCACACTCCTAGTATCTGTCCCACAGAAAGACCTGGTGGAAGAAGAGGCCGAGGAGGCCGGGGTGGCCCTGAAAAGCACCCAGACCACACTCCAGGCGGGTCTGGCCGCGGACGCCTGGGCTGCCCCAATTGCTGCCCAGATCTGTAAGAAGCACCTGGACCCCCGGCCCGGGCCGTGCCCCCTCGAGCTAGGCCTGGCGCTGGGCCAGCTGGCTTGCTGCTGTCTGCACCGCCGGGCCAAGAGGAGACCCCCCATGACCCAGGTAGCCCTGCATGGAGGTGTGGCGTGGGGAGCTCTCGGGCTCTGGCTGCCCGGGGAGGACAGTGGCGTGTCGTACTCCTGGTGGGGCTCCGCGGTGGGCCGGACGTCCTTCGATGCCGCCTGGGGTGGCTGGAGTCCTACGGAGCCCCACCTGCTAGACAGAAGCGAAGGGCTTTTGCTGCGCCCCCTCCTGGGCACACTGCGCCACTGCATCTGCCTTTTCCCGTCCCCTCCCTGGCCCTCCCCTTTCCCCCTGCCCATTTGAGGGCGGGAGGGCCGTGAGGTTTGCTTCGTAGAAGAGAGCGAAATGCTGTTCTCGGTCCTTTGTTTTAGGGGCCATGACTTCGTGGCATCCCTTGTGACAGGGACAAAAAGGCAAAAGACAGACAGACGCCGGGCACGCCAGTTCAGTGGTCCTCACGGCCCCCTGGGAGGCCTGCGCCCCAGGGCAGGGCCCTCTTACGGGAGGGCTGTGACTGGTCCGCGTGGCCAGTCCTGGCCCCCTGCAGAGAGCCATGGAGACACCCACCCAGGCCACCCCCTGAGAGCGTCCCTCTGTCCTCACAGGTGTACGAGAGTCTGGAGAAGCTGCAGGCAGCCGTGGCAGGGCCGGCGCGGGCGCCCGAGGCTGCGGGCCACAGCCCCCCTTCCCCGCAGGAGAACTCCTATACCTTCATGACCGGCAGCACCCCAAGCGCTGCCGGCCCCCTGCGGCCCCTGGCGGTTCCCCCGGGAGCCCCAGCCCAGCCTCTGGACTGGCTCCAGAAAGGCCCCAACCAGCCCGTGGAGAGTGACGAGAGCGTGTCCGGTCTGTCCGTGGCCCTGCAATCCTGGCACCTGAGCCCAAGCTGCCCCCCAGGCCTGGCTTTGCCGGGCGGCCCTGGGCAAGGGGCCGCCGGGTGGGGCCCGAGCCCCTCCGGAACGGCCAGCGGGCCTCAAGGGGGTGCCGCCCAAGCACCGAGCTGGGGGAGCGGCGCAGGGCCCCAGCTGGCAGCCATGGAAGGTAGCTGGGGACAGGTGCCCAGAAGGGGGACCGGGGGCCTCCTTCGGTGACAGTTCCCCGTATTCCCCACCCCCAGCCTTTTAGGAGGACAGATCCGGGGGCCTGCTCTTAATCTCACTCTGCCCTTAGCAGGCGCCAGGCTGCGACCGCCGGGTGGGCGAGAAGAGGCCACGAGCTCACTTCCTGAAAGCCGCGAACAAGGCACGCTTTACCCGGGACAGGGTTCCGGCCCGGCCAGGCCTTCCCTCAGAGGTGGCGCTGAGGACTTGAGTTCCAAGGGGCAGGGAACTAAGCTAGGGGCTGGCCCGAAGCGTCACTGACGAGGCCCCGGGGACGGCAGCCCCCGCAGCTAAGAGGTCGCTGTCTCCACCCCAGGATCGCTCGTGGACAGCTCTCTGTCATCGCAGCCACCGCAGATCATCATCAACCCAGCCCGGCAGAAGATGGTACAGAAGCTGGCCTTGTACGAGGACGGGGTCCTGGACAGCCTGCAGCTGCTGTCATCCAGCTCCCTCCCAGGTGCCTGCTCCCCGGGGTGGGGGGCGGCCCGAGGGCAGGCCCCCCCTCGTGACGATGGCTCGCGGCGGGCCTGCCCCGCACGCCTCGCTCGGGAAGTTGGGCGTGCTGTGCCTCGTCCCAGCCCCCTCACCTTCTCCTGACCGCAGCCCCTTCCCTCAGCCTGGGGGTGCCGGCCCCACCCCATGCTTCCAGAACATACGAGGCCCCAACGCGTATGTTCCGGTCCAGGTGCCATTTGAAGAAGTACTGCTTAGGGCTAGAAGCCCCTATAGCTGCCGAGGACGCCCGGGAGCCGAGATGGGAGCGCGGCCTGGCCCTCGAGCCAGGCCTTCTGGCGGTTGGAGAGCCGCCCCCGGTTACTAACTGCCATTTCCTCCTTCTGCAGGCTTCGGCGTGGAGCGCCCACACACGCAGGGGCCGGAAGAGAGTGATGAGTTTCAGAGCTGATCTGTTCACCTGGCACATTCCCCAAACCTGGAAGTCAAAGTTCTCATAGTTAGAAGTTCTCATGGCTCTCGAATCCTCAGCAGCCCGTGGGCGGTGGGCGGTGGGGGTGTCCTCCTCGCAGGGGACGGCAGGCGGTGGCCCCAGCTGCTCTAGAGGTGTGGGCACAGGCTGGGCTCGGAGCCTCCCGGGCCGGCTGCTGGAAGCCGTCAGCGGGGCAGGGCACCACCAAGGCCCGCCTTGATTCCGGCATCTGGGGGTCAGGGCAGCTGCTCTCACCGGAGCGGTGCAGGGGTGTGGGAGGAAGGCGCGTCCGAAGGCTGCCGGCCTCGCAGGCCGGGGAAGAGACGCGAGTGGGGTTGCCGGTCCGATCGGACGGAGCGGGAGCTGGCTCCCCCCAGAACGGGCCGGGGTGGCCCTCAGCCCTTCCCTGCAGACTCTGCGAAGCCCTGCGGGGGACGGGGCCACTCTGTGGGACAGAGCAAATGAGGCCGGCCGCCCCCCCCGCCCCCCAGCACTTGTGATTTGGAAAAGTGAGGCGTGGCCGCCCCGAGGTTCAGTTCGCCAGCTAGAATGAGAGTTCAGAGACACCCCAGAGAGCCCGGCAGCGCTCCTCCCCCATTGGGCTGGGGGTCTGTAGGCTTCACCAGGGACCCGGGACCCAGCCTAACACGACCACCTGATGGCCCAGGGCACTCCCAGGTGCGCCCCCCGACGGGCTCCAGAGGCCACGGGCTCGGCCTCAGGCCCGGGCACCGATGGTGACAGAGGGGCCGCTAACCCAAGACTGGGCTCAGCCCAAGCCCTGTGTGACCCAGACGGTGAGGAGCCCCAGGAAGAGGGGGGCGTTGGAAGCAAGGCGGGGAGGCAGGAAGAAGAAAATGGGGACGTACGCTTTTAAAGGCAAGACAGGTTTCATGTAATCGCATGTCTTTGAAGGTAGCACAGGCTTACCGTGATCTTGTGTCCACAGTCATGAGCCACACTACATGCCCCACAAAGCTAGGCACTGGTGAAGTCCAAGTTGTCCTGGAGGAATAAAAGCTCAAGTTTTGATCTCTGCCTGCACTTGTGCCGTTTTTCGCCCTGATAGCCTTGCGTTTTTCCGATGCCTTCCTTTCGTCTTGGGGGTTCGTAACTATCCAACCCGGAACGTCGGACACACTCCCCTGCCCTCCCCACCCGCCAGAAGTCCCCTGGAGCCTCTGGTTTCCACTCTGGTGGATTTTATGGGGTTTGATGCTACTGTAAATGGCATCTTCATTCCGTTTCTAATTGATCATTGATAGTTTCTGGAAATGCAATTTAGTTTTGAATAATGGCTTTGTATTATGAGCTTTGCTTAAACACACTTATTAGCTCTAGTAGGCTTTTTCTTTTCTGTTCTTTTGGTCCCAAAGCCAAGGAATGAACCAAACTCCAGTTGTTTGGTGGGGGTAAACACCTTGCAATGGTCTACAGACACAGTCCGTTCTTCTGGAAGTAAAGGCAGTTACTGCTGCTTTTCCAATCTGTGTGCCTTTCAATTCTTTTTCTTTCCTTGTTGCACTGGTTAGGGCTTCTAATCAGATGTTGGATAGAAGTGGTGGAAATGGACACCCTTGCTTTGTTCTCAAACTTGGGTGCAAAATACCATCTTTCACCACTGCTAATATTTATGCTGATGAAAGATACTGACCTGCAGTTTTCTGGGTCATAAAAGAAATTGGAAAGTGTTCCCTTCTCTTATGTTCTGAAAGGGCTTGTGCACGCTTGGTGTTACTTTGGTCAGTAACTGAGGATTCACCAACGAAGCCATCTCCACCCGGGGTTTTCTTTGTTTTTAGTTACAAATTCAATTCCTTTAGGGGCGCCTGGCTGGCTCCATCAGTAGCGTGTGTGACTCTTGATCGCAGGGTTGTAAGTTCGGGCCCCATGTTGGGGTACAGAGATTACTTTAAAATCTTTAGGGTGGCTCAATCGGTTAAGCATCTGACTCTGCATTTCCGCTCAGGTCATAATCTGACTGTTTGTCGGTTCGAGTCCCAGGCTGGGCTCCATGCTGACAGCATGGGGCCTGCTTGAGATTCTCTCTCTCCTTCTCCCTCTGCCCTTCTCGCCGCTTGTGCTGTCTCTCTAGAGAGGAAGAAAAAGGCAGGGAGCCTGATGGAGGGCTCGATCCCACTGCCCTGGGATTGTACCACAAGCCGAAATCAGATGCTCAACCGACTAAGCCACCCAGGTGCCCCAATCTTTTCCAGCTTCTTACAGTATAACCTCAACTCATTTATTTTAAACCTTTTTTGGGGGCGCCTGGCTGGCTCAGTCAGTGGAGGGTGTGACTCTTGATCTCAGGGTCGTGAGTTTAAACCCCATGTTGGGCACAGAGCCTACCTGAAAAAAAATTTAAAAATTTCTTTTTCTAACCTAAGCATTTAAAGCTATAAATTCCCGGGGCGCCTGGGTGGCTCAGTTAGGCATCCGACTTCGGCTCAGTTCATGATCTCACGGTTTGTGGGTTCAAGCCCCGTGTTGGAGTCTGTGCTGACAGCTAGGTCAGAGCCTGAAGCCTGCTTCTGATTCTGTATCTCCCTCCGTCTCTGACCCTCCCCTGCTCACGCTGTCTCTCTCTCTCTCTCTCTCTCTCTCTCTCAAAAATAAATAAAACATTAAAATTTTGAAAAACAGTAATAAACTAAAGCTATGAATTCCCGTTAAGAACATCTTTAGCTGCATTCTATGCACTTAGATATGTTCTATTTTCATTATGATTGAATTCATAATGGTTTTTTAACTTTTTAAATGTTTATTATTTTTTGAGAGGCAGAGCACGTGCAGGGGAGGGGCAGAGAGCGAGGGAGACACAGAAGCAGGCTCCAGGCTCCGAGCTGTCAGCACAGAGCCCAACGTGGGGCTTAAGCCCACCAACCTTGAGATCATGACCTGAGCCGAAGTCGGACGCTTAAGTGTCTGAGCCGCCCAGGCGCCCTGAGTTCAAGTTTTCTGATTTCCCTTGCGATTACTTGTTTAACCAATGACTTCCTTAGAAGTGTATTTAATTTCCTGCCTATATCTTTTAGTTATGTGATTTGTTTTTTGGTTTTTTTGAACATGTATTTCTTTTTTTGAGGGAGGGCGACAGAGTGCGAACAGCGGAGGGGCAGAGATGCGCAGTTCTCATTGGCTGCATGCACATTTAGGACGATGCTATGTTCTTGATAAGTTGACCCTTGAGTTATCAGAAAATGCCCATCTTTTCCTCCTGGTAATGTTCCTTCTTGTGACATCTGCTCTGGTGTGGCCGCTCCGATTTCCCAATGCTTAGTTTCTTTCTTGGTGTAACTTTTTCCAGTTCTGTTCTTTTAACGTGTCCGTGTCTTCATTTAAAGTGCGCTCGCTTTTGTAACCAGTGTCATAGTCTCTGCCTTTGAATTGCTCTGTTTAGGGGCACTTGGGGGGCTCAGGCAGTTGAGCATCCTACTCTTGATCTTGGCTCTGGTCACCATCTCAGAGTTTGCGAGTTCAAGCCCCAAGTCAGGCCCTGTCCGCGCAGAGCCTGCTTGGGATTGTCTCTCCTTTTCTCTGCCCTGCCCGCCCCCCCCGACCTGTGCCCTCACTCCCTCTCTCTGCTTCTCTCTCTCAAAATAAATAAATAAATAAAAGAAAAAAAGAGTCAGATGCTCAACTGCCTGAGCCACTCAGGTGCCCAACCATTTACACGGAAGGCTTGGGTGAAAGTCCACCATCTTGGCACTTGTTTTCCATTCTTCCCATCTGTTCTTTGTTCCTTTTGTCTTCCATTCCTGAGTTCTTCTGGGTTAATCAAATGGTCCTGGTCTTCGAGTTTTTCTCCACTATTGGCTTGTTAGCTTTAGTTACGGAGACCACCGGGCCTGCTCTGGATACGCCTCCTGCACCGTGATCTGCAAAGTGCCTTGAGGCAGAAGTCCAGGCCGCTCATATGGGCCACTGCATTCGGGTTCCTTGTGATCACAGCCTGGCACAGCCTGTGGGCTTCAATATTTTGCCTAGTTTTCTAGTTGTTTACAGCCAGAGGGCTATTCTGGTTACCCCGCCACGGCCAGAAGCACAAGGTTCTCCTCTGTTCTCAGGGATTCTTCCTCCTCCTGCAGCCTCGGAGATGTCCCAGTCGCGCGTCCGTTCTTGACGAACTTTGAGCCAACACCTTTCTCCAATCATAGCCCCAACGCCTTTTTTTTTTTTTGTTAACAAATAGCTTATTGTCAAGTTGGTTTCCATATAACACCCGGTGCTCATCCCCACCAGTGCCCCCCTCCACGCCCATCTCCCCTCCCCCCCGCCACCCCCATCAGCCCTCAGTTTGTTCTCAGCATTCAGGAGTCTCTCATGGTTTGCCTCCCTCCCTCTCCCCCACTATTTTCCCCCTTCTCCCCCCTCCCCCATGGTCCTCCGTTAAGTTCCTCCTAATCCTCGTATACGTGCAAACATGTGGTAGGTGTCCTTCTCTGCCTGACTTATTTCGCTCAGCGTAACACCCTCCAGGCCCATCCACGCTGCTGCACAGGCCCGATTCCGTTCTGTCCCACTGCCGTGTAGGATTCCGTCGTGTAGATGAACCGCGTCTTCCTGATCCATTCGCACACCCCAGCTCTTTGCTCCTCGTTACAGGCAAGCCCTCCACACGGCCGGCTGTTCTTTCCTGCTACTGCCTCTGCGGCCCCTTGCAACCCGGCTCCTCCCCCGCCGCTCTGCCAACCAGCGGTCATGTCGCCCGCTCCCTTTCTGACTTTGTCCCACGGGCCCCTCAGACTGCTTTCCTCGTCACCTCTGCAACACTGCCCCGTCTGTCTCTTCCACGAGGTGGCAGTCCCTGCGGGGGAGGGCCCGGGCCCCCTCCACTACCTGCGCGCACTCCTGTGCCGACCTCACTCACTCCCGTGGCTCCAAACACCACCTGTGTGTTCCCAAACGGCACCTCCAGCAACGAACTCTCCCCCGAGCGCTTCCCCCGCGCTTCCAGCTGCCTGCCGGACAGGTCCTCCGTGCTGTGTCACAGACCTCACGAGCCCAAGTGACAAAATGGAACTTTGGCCTCCCGGTCACCACGAGCTTCCTGTCTCAGTGTGTAACGCCACCTTCCATCAGCTGTCCCAGCCCGGCGCCCCAGAAGTTAGGCTTTGTTAACAGACTCCACTAGGGAGGTACAACGTAAAGGCGGGAAAGTACTCGAAGTCCACCTGCACGACTCAGTGACTTCTCATAGATGATGTTACACAGCCGTGTGACAGACAAAGCCTGGACCGTGCTACGTGTGCTCCGTTGTCTTGCTATGTAGCAGACCACACCAAAACTCGGGGGTGAGGCAATGGCATGTATTTTGGCCACAAACCTGCCATTTGGGCGGGGCTCAGGCGGCGCAGCCCGAGGCTCCACTCAGTGTCAGCCGTCTGGAGGCTGCCTGCCTGAACCACCCGGAAGGTGATGCCGGCTGTCAGCAGACGACCCACCGGGGTAGGACACCTAGACATTCCATGTGGCTTCTTCCTGAGGGAGCTTCTGTCACCTCTGGTGACCTGAACTGTGCTGCAGTCCCTTCATCGGAAGCAAGTTGCTAAGGCCATCTGTACCCAAGGGAAAAGGAATTAGTGTCGAACTTTGGAGGGAAGAGGCCCAAAGAATTCACCAGCATGTTTAAAACCAGCACAGGGGCACTTTTGTCATTCCAGAAAGATCCCTCACACAAAAGAAGCACACACATAGATTGGTTTTCCATGTTCTTAAGCTTCACCTAAATGGAATCATGTCACGGCGCCTGGGTGGCTCAGTCGGTTAAGCATCTGACTTCAGCTCAGGTCATGATCTCACGGTTCATGGGCTCGAGCCCCGCATCGGGCTCTGGGCTGACAGCTCAGAGCCTGGAGCCTGCTTTGGATTCTGTGTCTCCCTCTCTCTCTGACCCTCGCCTGCTTGCACTCTGTCTCTCTCTCTCTCTCTCTCTCTAAAAGATAAATAAACATTAAACTGTTTTTCATGGACTCATGTAGCATGTGTCTGGCTTCTTTCACTGGCTGAGGTGCCAACTACTGTTGGTTTTC